CCACAGAGGACCAGAGGCAGTGGACAGTCGATCCTGCTAGAGGCCGACCACCCTGGTAAGAGTTGAGAGCATGGCCTCAGGTACCCAGGACCACCCGGCACCCAGCCAAACTGAGCCACTAAGGGAGCGGGCCAACGACCACGACTAGAACATTCGGCCACATTTCCCAGAAAGCAGAACAAAATGTTACTGTATGAGGACTTTATGGCAGACTTTGTGTGTCTACATTTTTGTACACAAAGGTGTCGAAAGGGTGGAAAATTGGTGGGCACAAAGGTTAAACCATGTTTTCAGGTTTTTAGGGTCTGCTCACAGCAGGTCCCACAGGTAGGATGCTCAGCATTAACACCTTCACAGTTCCACTCGATCAGACCAAAAGTTTCATGTTCAAAAACTTTTATTTCACACAAACTTTAAACATCAAAAACATCATCGTCATGGCAACTCTGTACCCCAGCTGAGCTTCTACACACTGATTGGCTCTTGCTGGTTGTGCTGACGTTTGACCACAAAGACCTTCTGACCAGAGACCGTCACCGTGTACACAAAGTCGTCCAGGATCACTGCAGACACACACAGACACACACACAGGTTAGTCCACTTGAAGTCACAGGGTTGCACCTGAGCTTTGTATCCCATCATGCAACATGAACAATGTGCTCATCAAATACATGAAAACGTTGCTGATGATGCACCAGGTTTGAATCATGTGACAGTGATGACATCATTAACAGGTCTGAGAAAAACAAAGCAAAACACCTGAGTCATGTTTGTTTTTACTGAAGCTGATGAAGTGACAGTGCACGTGTGTTTGTGATACCTGACATGCGTTTGAAAGGTGGATCAGCTGATCCTGATAACCTGAAGCGACTCGCTGTTCGAACCATCTGCATCATGACACCTGCTGTGTGCTCGTCATTCTCCAGCTCGCCTGCAGACTGATCAGTAATCAATAATCAATCACTTTGATCCTCTTCTGATCAATAGACTTAACTCAACTCTTTAATCTATTTTAATAATCTGAGGATCCATATTTCCCCCTGTTTACAGCACTTTAATAATCCAGAATAATCTGAGGAAAGAGCAGAGTTCAGCTCGCAGTATCAAATGTGAATTCAGTTTAACCTGTAGAAATGTTAAATGAGCTTAAATCTAAATGGAGTCTGGTCTCTGTGTGACCAAACTAGCCTGAGCACCAGACTACTTGCAGAAATCACCTTATTTAACAATTAGTGCGGTTAAATAAAGACCAAACTGCACTCATAAAGAACTTCTTTGTGAACTGAACATCTGAAAGCTCAGAGAGACTCACGGCCAGAACACCATCCTCACTGATGACCAGGTACCCAAGCTGGTCCGGGATCCGCTCCAGACCCGCAGTGAGCGCCGCTGTGGCCTGAAAGAATGACGACATCATCAGGATAACATTATGAAGCTAAAAGTAAGTGATGTTTGATGACTCATTGGTTCACTGATAAACGAAGATCAGCAGAACAAGAAGTGCGTTTCCTCAGGTCGAAGCTTCAGAGACTCACTAAACAGCCTTAGATCATTCGTCCACTAATAATTCTGCATCTTCATCAGGTACGACCTGTGGTCCTCAGGTGCCAATGGGGTTACCCATTTAAAGATGGTTTCTTGTTTACCATGGTTACATTCGTGCTGCATACATGACACACACTCCCCGTTTCACAGGAACACAGGTGAGACCCCGGGGCGCAGGTAAACCCGCTTCGAACGTCACTCCCCCTCCTCTCTGTTGGCACCACTCCCTTCCTGCAGAGGGCGCTATTGATGTCCCGCAGATATTGGCATTGAGCCCGATTATCAGGAATTATAATTCTGAAGAGAGCTCCAAGCTTCACCCTTGGAGCGCTCTGGTTTTCATTTTTTGAAGGGAAGCATTTCCGCGTGTTTATCCTCCTTGTTCATAGAGAGGTTAAGAGGACGCTAACAGCGTTAGTGAACGGCACACAGCGGACAGTCCGAGATCATGAACGCCTCACCGAGGCCCTGAACGCTGAATTAAAAAACAAACAAACAAAAAACCCAAAACGAGAATCAAAATAAAACTTTAAACTCACCATGTTCGTCTTCTTCTGCTTCTACAGCCCACAGCTGCGCATTTCCGTCTTTATCGTAGAGCCTCACGTGACTGCTGAGGCCTTCATGTGCTGTCGGACAAAAGAGACAGACACTCACACACAGTGCGGGACTGACGGTCGGTGCTTGTCCCGATTATCAAATAAATAAGAATAAACGTTTGTGACATTTTAGGGATGTTTGGATTAATGCCGAGGACGTTGCTGTCTAAATATGACCTCATTGTTGCCCTATAAAGATGAAAATAAAATAAAATAAAACACATAAATAAACGAGTGATCGTTCATATTTTTTAATTTCTATAGGGGGCGCCATATTGAAGCGGAAGTGCAGGTCAGCTGATCCCTCACATGACGTGTCCCGTGAAGCTGAGTGTTTCTCTCCGGGAATCTCACCTGCATCTCCGTGATGGCCGGCCGCGGGAAACTGATCGCCGTGATCGGAGACGAGGACACGTGCACGGGCTTCTTGCTCGGCGGGATCGGAGAACTGAACAAGAACCGGAAACCGAACTTCCTGGTGGTGGAGAAGGACACAAGCATCACCGAGATCGAGGAGACTTTCAAGTAAGATGGACTCCACACACACACACACACCAAAATGTGTTAAAAAAAAAATCAGCCGATTTAACGCTCATTTCACGTGTTTCTGTCAGTGTCACCGAACCGAAGGTCTCGGTGGTCCTCGTGGGTTAAAAGTCAGGTCGGTTTTATTATAATTCGGACAGCACCAGCCTGGAACCGTATTAACCCTTCAGTGACTTCAAAAACACTGGCTGTAGGACAGGAGGCCGGCTGCTTTTTTGATGAAAATGAGAATGGATTCTGGTGTATTTGGGCCCAGTCTGTAACTACATCCAGCATCCTGAGTTTTCAGCCCTTAGATGATCGTCGGATAGAGTGTAATGGATGGATCAGCCGATCAATATATTAATCCAGCTCTCAGCTAATCTCCATGAAATGAACTTAACCTGTTAAATGCCGTAAAATTAGAAAAGACTTCAGTCTGTTTCTGTGGATTCCTGAAACTGATTTCAGAAATCAGTGTATTTTAATAGTTATTCAGTCTTTCTGACTTCATTAAAACTACACATAAATAATCGCGATCTTTGTGAATGTAGCATGTTAGCTCTCACACCGGACTCTATTGAAGAACCAGAGCTTTTTATTAAATCTGTGTGTATGAAATCAGCACTTTCAATTTGATTTAAAATCAGCAAAAATTAAATACTTTATATTAATTATGATATTTTATAATATATAATCTTTTATGATCGCTTCACACATTTTTTCGTTTTGTTTAATTGTTGACTTGCATTTATCAGTTCAGAGAAGTTGGTCTGGTGCTTTGGGCTTGTATTCCTGAAATTTTCCTTAATGGCCTCATGTGCTGTGTAACACACACCAGACTCCATTCAAAAATCAGCTGATTTAAATGATCACTGTTGAGTTTGGAAATGTTTTTGATATCTTAAAACAGACCAACTCTTACAGTGATGTTTCAGATGAGGAATTCCTGTGTTCTCTGCTGTCATTGAACTCATCTGTGAATATCCTTTACATCTAAACCTCTGTAACCCACCGTTAGAGACGGATGATGTTAAATTGACAATAATTTGAATTGTCTGACTTCCTGTGTTAAGATCAGCAGTAACAAACAGACAGAGAGAAATGTTAGTCCTCCGAGACTCTCAGAAACACCACGCCTTCATTTACTTCCTGTTACACCTCCGCTGGTTCTTCTCGGGTTCTGAGGATGTTAAATTGTGACTGGACTTTGGCGTGGCAGACTGACGGGACTATTCTTTTTCTTGTCCTCTGCAGGAGCTTCCTGGCACGTAACGACATTGGCATCATCCTGATAAATCAGTTCATCGCTGAGATGATCCGGCACGCCATTGATGCCCACATGCAGTCGATCCCGGCCGTGCTGGAGATCCCGTCCAAAGAGCACCCGTACGATGCGTCCAAGGACTCCATCCTGCGCCGTGCCAAGGGCATGTTCTCTGCCGAAGACTTCCGATAGACGGCGAGTCGCGCTGATGCGGTTCACAGATTTGTCCCGATGTGTTTGTGCTGTGATGTTTACTTTTATTTCCAGGAAGTGATGTATGCCCATGTGATCGTTTTTAGACCAAACCTGCTTGAGTCATGTGACCTGTCCCTCCTCCTAGGTGTTTGTTCCAGATGTGTTAACTTATAAACGTGAACAGATGTGCGAATAAATGAATAAATAAACTTGTTGTTTAAAGGTTTTTTTGTTTAATTTGATGGATGCACACATGGCTACTCCTTGTTTCCAGCCTCAGGTGTGATGAGCTTTAAGGTTTAAACACCAGCAGAAATGGGCAGTGTCAGTCAGCAGCAAACAAAATCCTCACAGCGCCACCCGGAATTCTGTGTATTTTTGTCCTCCTGGTGTCTGTGTGGAGGTCCTTTAGTAACTTTCAAGACACCCTGGCCTAAACACCAGAATCCATGAACCCACCACTCAGAACATCTGTGAGCTGCAGCAGGGGTCACGACCTGAGAAATTCCCAAATAACTTACACAAAGGCCAGAGGTCATTCAAGAACTTGAGGATAAAGTTTGCTTGGTCTGAGGTTAATGAAGCTAACAGGAAGTCTTTGATGGGATTTTCATAATAAAGCTCCCTGTTTGCAGTTTAAATTATGAGGCGTGTTTCATCTTTGTTGGTGTCGCTCAGTGGAGGTGTCATAGGGTGGCGGTCAGCTAATTCTGACCACAAAACAAAATCCACCTGAGCCTCACAATGGAGGAGGAGAAATGAGCTAATCAGCAGACAGGTGTGAGTAAGTCAGATGTTTGATGCTGTTTATGATAGTTCATTTTCTGCCAACCTCTTCCACCAGCTGATCCAGAGGCAAGTGAGGCATTTCCCAACCAGTTGTGATTATTCATCTTAATTTCTCTAGTTGAGTAAATATCCCAACGTTACAGCAGAGCTGATTCAGTAAGTTCTCACAAAGCACCATGTCTGCTCTTCTGTTCCTCCTAGGTGTTTTCATGACAAACAGCAAGCTAGCTGCACCATTTCAGATCAGATGTGTTCATCTAAACTTACTGTACAAGGAAGTTACATCTGACTGAATCACTTCCAAACTGGTTGCGAGATTCTTCACAACCTAAAACGTCTGATTGGATCTCATATTGTTGATACATTTTGTCACAGTTTTTGTCCTTGTGCATTACTTTTTATTTAGTTATCATCTCATTTCTGTCAGAAAACAATGTTGTAAATGAAAATAGGTGAAAAGTATTGTTCAGTAGATTTAACACACTTTCCAGCCTGTCCTGGGTCTGCCTTGGGACCTCATCCAAATGCAGGAGGTGCCATGGTCAGATATCGAAGGACCTCAGCTACCTCCTTTCAATGTGGAGAAGTAGCGGCAGTACTCTAAGCCCCTCTCAAATGACTGAAATCCTCACCCTTTCTCTAGGAACAGCACGGCCACCCTTCAGAGGAAGCTCATTGCTGCTGCCTGTACCTGCAACCTTATTCTTTTGGCTACTCCCCAGAACTAATGACCACAGGTGAGGGTAAGGACAATGGGATATCGTCATCACTTC